GATTACTTGGTAAAAACCATTGGTACTGAAGATATGCCGTTCGATGCCAGAAAAAAACGGGGATCGAACCGGCCACCATGCAGTCGAAAATGGACCTGCGGGTGAAACTATCGCCTCTCGGCTGCAAGCAAAAATCAGAATCTAAAAATGTCTCGAGGATCGCCGAAGTGCCGTTGGAGCAGCGGGAACCAGCACAGTCCACGGCCCGGCATAACCCCGACGCGTTCTTGCAATGGCTCAATAGCAAGCCTCTAAAATCGTCCTTGACGTGCCACGTGGCGCTCCGGCAAAGCAGAAGAGGGGTTTTGCGGTCACGGTTACGGACGAAGTCCTGCATTGCAGCACATCGGAGTCTGATCTGGGGTGGAATCCGGTGGGGTAGGGCACACCGACGTCGAAATAGTCCAGGCGTTTTCGTTCGATCAATAGACGCGTGATGTTTTCTCATACCTGGCATGTAGATACATCCGGAGCCCCAGTCTTCGTTTTTGGACCGCCGGAAATCCCATGTGATCCGCCCCATCGTCATGAAATGATTCCAGCCGTCGGAACTGTTCCAGTATGGTTGATCCTGCACCCACTTCAATATCATATCGCAGTAACTATCACGATCTTTTGAACTATAATTAAACCATAAGTATTTTCCAACGGCGAGTCCCGCGTAAAACGGGATGTAAAAACGCCGTCGCCGGAATCCGGCTCCATCGTACGACACTTGTGGTTTAAATACTGCGTTGTGGGTAAATAATTTCCATGGCGAACTGGTCGGTCCAGTACCATGCTGGATCAAATCCTTCGGCCGGATAATCCCGTGGCTTTTCTTCCGAATCCATCGTTTGATAGCTTGGCAACGTGAATGCCATGGGTCCAACTCAGCGCAATTATCTAACAACTCTTGGTTGAAAACACAGCCAAATATACGACCGGACGAACACTGGTCACGAGATGGTGAAACAGTGGAGGAAACAAATGTTGGCGGATTTTAGGTGGTGGGAGAGAAAGAAAAAGAGTTGATGAAATGTTAGCCGATTTTGGAGGAGGTAATGACTGGCGGAAAAGGGGAAGGAAGTGGGTTCGGCGCGATGGGTGAGAGGAACAGCGCGAGCCATGAGGAGGATGATTATCTGGAGTGAGATGATGAATAAGAGCAGCCATAAGCGATTATGGTTGGGTAAGAAGAAATAAGGCTGCAAATGGAGGGAGTTGAAGAAGTTTTTGCGTTCGATTGAATTCAGTTGGGGGGTTTTGGTTTTGTTAGGGGAGGAAATAGGGGAGCTGAAGTGGGGAGAACAAGGGGATTTCGGGGAGCATTTTGGAAGCATCAAGATGGCTTTGGGAGCAGCTTCACCGGAAGTAACGGTCCGGACAAGATGGTGAGGGGAGTGAGGACTAGGGGTTTGACGTTCTGTGGTCTCAGATATTGGAGCGTGTAACTGTGGCAGAGTGGAGTTATGCTTTTATGAACCTTTTTTTTTTTTTTTTATAAGTTCGAGCCACGTCACCTTGGAGGAAGTTATATTTGTACATGGGAGTCGAGGGGTGGAAAAGGCACGTGGCTTGGGTTACTGGCTGCGTGCGCAACCGACAGAGTGTGCAGCTTCTAATGACTCACACCTGGCTGTAGGTTAACTGAAAAGCGTTTCTATTTAGGAAGAAATACAAATCAGGATAATAATTAATTTTACGTCCATACGAAAAAAAAATATTTTTTAATTATTAAGAAGGAAATAAAAATATCACCTAATCCCTCGATTTTAGTTCAATTTTCAAACTTACCAAAGAAAAAATAAAAATAAAAGGGAGAATTGGGTAAACGTAAAAATGTTCAAAATTAGATTTTAATTAATTTAATTAAGTTAATCGATTATTCATTAAATTAATTTTGATTGATTATTAAAAATAATTTTAAAAATTTTTTAATTCTTTTATTAATTTAATTCATAATTTGAATTAATTGAAATATAATAAAATTTATATATAATTAAAAATATATGAAATTATCTATTTTAGTTTAAGTTATTAAAATTTTTAATTTAATAATTTAATAATTGCATTTTTTGTTAGATAATTTTATTTAATTTATTTTAAATATAAAAAATTAAGAATTTAAAATTTAATTTAATTTAATATATTTTATTATTTGATTAATCAAAAAAATTAATCGAATTATTTTTATTATTTAATTTTTGAAATTAAAAATTTAGTTTAATTAACAAAAATAAAATAATATTAATAAATTAATTTAATTTTAAATAATTTGATTCGAAATTAACTAAAATAAATATTTTTAAACAAATGAATCAATTTTACTTTCATCTAGTGAGGCTATAGCTAATCTTGATATATCTAGATCCGAACTTAATTAATAACTTTTATATATTTTATTATTTTAAATGGAATACATAAGTTCAAAATATATTTTATAATTAGATAATTTAAGAATTTAATAAATAATTTACCAGTTATTAGTAATATACACGTTAAAAATAATATAAATATTAAAAAGCTAATTGTCTCCAATCAAGTTTTGAGTAAGTAGTATCTTAAAGGCTAATAATAATGGGAGTATCTTAAGGTTATTAACAGTGGGAGCATATATTATCACTTATAATTCCTGCATTATAATTAACGATCCACAATTAATTAATAGACGCTATTCTTATAAGGTTTCCTAATCTTATTTAATGGATTGAACAGTGTAAAATGTCCATTTTTTTTTGTACTTGTTGCTTTGTCTACATTGGACTGTTGTTTATACTATTGCCTTCCCTACTTTGAAATTTTAACCCAAATGTTGATTTTAATAAAACATTAAAAATTTTCTGGATGCAAAGAAGATTGTATTTAAAAATAAAAAATGAAATTATAAATACTAAAATTTGTATCTTAAATCACACTAATATCACTTTTGAAAAATAATTATATAAATCATCTAAATTAAATTTCAAATTTTAAAACATTAAAATTTAAAAATATACAAATGGTTATAAAAAAAAAAAACCTTCATACATTTAATTTTTTATTTAATGAAGTCTAACAACTAAGTGATTTTCTTTTTTAATTTTAAACTTTTTCTAATATCTTTTTATTTGATATTGAATTTCACTTAATTTTTTAATTTTTTTTAAAAACTTCACTTAAATCATTTAATTGTTTGTCATAGTTGTATTAAGCATTAACTTCCCTTTTTTATCAGTAAGGCTTTGGTTTATTAGTAAAAAAAATTCTAAAATCTTAAGATATTAAATTTAAATTTCATTATGTTTGAGATTAATTATCTAATTATAATTAATTAATTAATTATTATAATTTAATTATAATATAATAATTAAAATATTTAATTTATCTTATAAATATAAAACTTGGTTATAATTATAATTAAAAAAAAACTTACATCTTTTTTTAGGACAAACACCTCACCACAATTTTTGAATTAAAAATTTTCTAAATCTTCCTCATAGGTTTCAGTTATGATGCAACGCACAAAATAAAAGTCAGAGCTCCAAAATTTGACTTCTTCAAGACGTGGAATCAGGCCGGGGGCCCTGACGTAACGCCGACATCTGTTAGATTTTGTCGCTGATAAACCATTAATCTAACGGTTTTAAAACGGCTCATGCGGTATTGAAATCCAGTTACAAATTCAATAAGCTGGTTGTTTGAGGTGCTGTCGTGCACCTCTGGCTGGGCTAGCTGTAAAGATGTACGTGGCAGTCTCTGAGATGGGTCCCAATAGAACTATGGGACCCCCCCAACGGTCAAAGTAATGGCGACAAATTTGCTTTTCTCATTTTGTGAGGGAAAGTAAAGAGAAACTGTTGTGTGTATTCCTTGAAATGAACCATTGGAATTTTGTTTAAAAAGCGACAAAGTTTAATCTAGTTGTTGACAAACACCAAAACACTTTAGTTAAAATGTATCCTAATTAAAAATTAATCACGTTAAATGAATAACACTTTAGTTTATATATTTATATTTTAAATTTCACATTAATATTTTTTAAAAAATTTAAATATTATATTAAATATTTCAGTTTGAAAACCACTCATCACTTTAAACCTTAAAAATGCACTTTTATAAAGTTTACAGTGACACAACATAGCTGGGTTGATAATGTCATAAGAAATAAGTTTAGCTTGTTATTGGAATTTGGTAGATAATTAAATATGAGATACTTTCGTGCATTCTTACGGGAAAAAGGAAAAACTCTTTGGGCTTTGGTATGATTTATAAGTAGAGAAACCCATTTAGTGCCAGCCTGCTAGGCCAATTTGAGCCCAAATTGTTGGGCCAATAGTCAAATTACAGATGTAGATAGAACAAGAACACCTTCATCAATTATAATCATCAGATATTTCATACTTTATAATTTTTTTAGAAATATAAGTTTCCTAGATGTTCAACTGCTCGAGGCTTTAATTTTAAATTGTTTCCATCATAAAATTATTTCTTAGTGAATCTAAGAGATCAAAAAAGTTTTTTATGGATCAAATTTATTAACACCAAATAAAAATTTAAAAATTACTATTATACAATTTAATAAAACAAATTTATATAGTTTACAAATTAAATTTACTATGATGAAAAAAGCAAAAAAATTATTAAATAAAATTTCATCAAATTCAAAAATTTTATATATCACTACTACAACAAATAATAATTTTTGCGAAAAAATTTTATAATGAAAATAATCCATAACCAAAGACTCAAGTAATCGAACTTTTAAAAAAAAACTATCTAAAATAAAAATTCTAGATTACCCACTTTCTTTTATCACTCCAAGATGAGAACAATAAAACAAATCAAAAATAACTTCACCAATTTCTTTTAATCCAAATGATAAAAAAGGCATAACTCACCAAATACAAATAAAGGTAGATAAATATCTATACTGTAATAAATATCTACCTAACTTCTAAATGTTGTAGAATATAATCTAAACTCATAAATAAAACAAGGCAAAATGGTTAGTTTATATATTATGTACTATGGCTAAAAGATATGGATCATTATATCTATCTCTTTCCCTTCTTCTCTGTAACAGATATATATACTCTCTATCTCACATCCCTTTCTCTTGTAATTATACATATAAAAGATATATATATTCAAATACCAGGCAACCAAGTGGGTTAAAAATCGACGACAATAACTTGATATACATTTCTAGGCATTATAAATCTACTGTTTCTTTTCATTTTGTTACATGTCTGGGCATGCAACAAGGTTTAAACAACAGCAGTGTTTCTTGCAGCTGACGGAATATCTAATAATAATAATAATAATAGTACTAATATGACAACATAATTGAGGAAACACCAGGCAACATGAAACCAGAGAGCTCAACCCAATCAAAAGACTAGCCACACAAACCCTAAATGAAAACTTAAAAGGTTTTTAACCTTTTAGTACTCAAAAATCAAAATTAACATGGGGGACCAAACCATGATGGAAACACCAATTATAAATTGTTACTGTTTCTTCAAGAGCAAAGGCCCAACATTGTCCCCTGTAGCTTTGTTGTGCTTTACATGGCTTCCATCGCAAAGAGGGAAAGTCTTTGACCTCCAGCATCTATGTTTAAACAAAACAAAACCAAATAAATACACATTCAGTTTATAATTAATCACTACTTAAAATACTGAAATTCAATCACATATGAAATCAATTATTATGATAAGAAATAGTATGTACTTAAAAGAGAGAGAGAGAGAGAGAGAACCAACCTGCAATAAGCAGTAAGGGGCTTGGAAAGCTCAGTAACCACAATAGAGTCGACCACCTTCTCTTCCGTCTTCCTTATTTCTGGGTTTATGGTTTGACCCTCTGCCCTGACCACCACAGTTGCTGAGCGCCTAGGCCTTGCATTAACGGTAGCAACACCAAAACCAGGGATTCGTCTCGGCCTCGGCCCCACAGTCAATGATATGTTGCGGCAGAAGCTGGCATCGTATGTACTCATGGTGGACGCCATTGAATGAGTCCGAATTTGAGAATACTGCTGCGGTGTCTCTGTCCCCCTATCTATCTGCCTTCGGATGGCAGATGCTGGCGGGGTTATCAAAGGTGGGTGAGAACTTGGGGCGAACTTGGAATCGAAAGTGGGTGAGAACTTGTGGACAACACGCTCTCTCCCAATACCGTGAATGCAACAAATGACACGTCATTTTGGACCGATTACACATTCAGTGGACCTTTAGCCCCAAATCGGCCCAGCTATATCAAGTCCTTATTCAAAACTCGTAGCCCAATGTAGGCCTCGGATGTAACGACCCATATTCAAAGGGGTACGTCATGGCAATTTCGAAAGTTAATCTACATCAACATTTCCCTTGTAAATGTTTTATGATTATTTTTAACGTTTTAAAATCAACGAAAAAAGCTACCATTATTAAACTTTTAAAAATAAAAAAATAATTATATATCAAACGTACTCAAATATTGTAATCTGTGCATAAAAGGCCAATGGAAACAAATTTTCTATGAAAAGTTGGCATTATATAAAGAGAAACAGTGGTGACCATTATGATGACATCTCTTAAAAATATTGCAGTGGTCAACATTAGGGTTTTTGTATTTTTGTTTTAACTGAATTAATCTGAATCTTTTTAATTTGATTAATTAATTATAAAATTAATTTTAATTGACTATAAAAAATAAATTTAAAAAATTTTAATTGTTGTTTAATTTGATTCTATAACAGAGTTTATTGAATTAATTAAAATTTTAATTAAAATATGAAAAATTTTAAAATAATACTAAAAATATATCAAACAAATTATTTAATTTTATGAATTGTTAAAGTTTTTATCTTGATACTTTGATATTTAAATATTTTATTAGATGATTATATTCAATTTATTTCAAATATAAAAAATTAAAAGTTTAAAACATAATTTTATTTCATTATATTTAATTATTTGATTAATTTAAAAATTAAATTAAATTAATAAAAATAAAATAAAATAATTTAATTAATTTAATTTTAAATAATCCAATTAGAATTGAATACTCCCATCATAAAAACAAATGTATGGGAATTATGTGCTTTCGATTTTTTTTTTTTTTTTCTAAACCCAACATCGAGATTGGCACAAATAATTTTATGTTTCGAAGAATGTTACTGGTAGTCTGTTAGTCGGCATGACACCCACTTTTTTTTTTTTTTTTTTGTCTTCTCAAACTTAAATATGAAGAATTGAAAACCCTCAAACACAAGTTCCAAAGGTTGGAGACAACCACTTAATGAAACTCTCCCCAACTTCTTCCAAAATCTCTCTTCGCATAAGCATTTTTAGTAACCCATGATGTCCTTAAACTGTGACCTATCTTTTTCTTAACTGTAAGAGAACGTGAGGCTTTGGTTGTTGATTATGCAGGAGTTTAAAAGATCTTATCTTTCCAGATAAGCCGAAATCTCTTAGATTCATTGATGGGCGATGATATGCGGAGCTGTAGTAAATGGATCGATTCCCTATCTCTTTTACTTCATGGTAAAAATTTCTTTCGTCTGCTTGAGTACAATGCTGGTCCATTTGTGAAAAATATTGGGGGCGTTAATGAAGGACAATGCTTGAGGAACACAAAATTTAAAGAGTAATGTTGTATATTATTAAAAATTTGAGAGAGTTAATTATATTAAATTAATCGTAAATTTAACAAAGAAAAAAATCCTACTCTTTTTTTAACACTAATAAAAATATAAAAAATATTTTAAACAATATTTCACCAAAAAATCATTCACATGTATGAGATTCCATGTGATGGTAAAATTATTGTTATAAAAGTTATTTTCGACAACCGGAAAAAATTAAAATGGCAAGGATGCATTAGCTACGAATGGAGAACAAGGGCTAGCTAGGAGGAAGGGATGGCAGGGTTCCTTATGCAACCCCAAAAAAATTTTTTTACATTATTATAATAAATATTTCATCTAATTTATACAATATATATCAATAAAATTAACAAAAAAATTTTCTATGTAAAATAGATTATATTTTTTACGTGAAATGTCGTAGGTAAAATACAATATGTTATATAACTTAACTATTTTGATTATATAATTAATTTTAAATAGCTATTATGACCAAATTAATTACTATTTTATTATCAATATTCTTACATTTTATAAATTAATTATAATTAATTTAATCATTAATTCAAAAAATAAAATTTTAAATAAAAAATTAATAATATAAATAATTTTGCATATTTACTGTTTATATATAATGATATATATAAACATATTAATAGGCTATAAATATTTAATATATATTAACTTAAAAAACCCAAATAAGTTTATGTATATATGATAATTTTTTATATATAAATAGTATCAAATGATGTTATGTGTTTATTTTTTTCATAATCAACAATTCAAATTTCAAAATTAAAATTATAAATTAATTTAATCTTTAATATTTTTTGAATTATTGCTCAAAAAATATTGTTAATTGTTTTAATTTTATTTTTTTTAACTTTTAAGTATGATTATTTCTTTCTTTTTCTTTTTTTTTACAATAAAAGTCTTATTAGTCATTTAATAGCTTTAATTTTATTTTAAATTTTCCAAAATTTTTTATGTTTATATTATCTTAATTTAGATGTTTAATTACAAAAATTAAAAAAAAAATTGAGAAGTCAAATTATGCATTTAACCTAAGAATGAAGGAGAAGAGGGGCTAGCTAAGAGGGTCCAATAGGGATGGCAGGGGCATACCACCCCCCCCCCCAAAAAACAATTTTTTTATATTATTATAGTAGAATATTTTATTTCACCAAAAATAATATTTTGACTTCCTATTTTCTAATAGAATTACTATTTGACTTTTTTTTTTTTTTTTCGTATTTCTATCTTCCCCGTTGGATGTGATAAAGGACACAGTTGAATTATCAATTGCTTTTTAACACCCAAGTTGTTAGAAAGCCACATCAGCCCATATTTTGAAATTAAGATCGATAACTCTCAATAGCAAGTTACTCTTTAATCTTTTCAAGGTTTTTTTATTTGTTGCCTGATAGATTGATACTAAGTTCTCAATGACACCTTCTTCCAAAACATTTTCTCTTACAACTATTATTATATATGGTTTATTTGGATAGACGATAAGATTAATTATTGTAATGATAAAATTAAATATTATAATAATAAAATTAAAATTAATTATAAAATACGTATTTAAATATAAAAATAATGATGACAGTGAATTAAATTGTAATAAAAAAATGATTATTAAAGGTATTAAAATAAAAATTATACTAACAAAAATTTTAAATTATTTAATATTTATAAAATTAATAAAAATTTTATTTATTTATTATATAATAATAAAATTTATTTATTATAATAAATTATAAAATTATTATGTAATTATGTAATTATATTTATTTATGTAAGATTATTTGAATATTTTTAAATAAAAAAAAAACAAAGGTTAGCCATCAGGATATTTTTGTTATAGCTTAGTAATGCCGAGGGTAAAAAAGTAAAAAAAAAATGAAACGTGGGCTGAAATGAAAACAAAGAGCTGCGATTGAGGGCGTAAATCTCACCAAACCCCCTAAGCTCTAGTAGCTCACTGAAGCTTCAGTGTGGTGGTTGAAGCTTAATCTCACTGGATCTTGTTATCCAAATAAGCTTTCGGCGCAATTAAGCACTCTAATCGTGCTGCACTGGTAGTAACTGACGATCTAAATGAGCCCTTGGTTGCTAGTTATAATTAGGACTAAATATAAAAATGACTTTTTATTATATATTTTTTATTAATTTGATATTTAAAAAATAATTTTTTTAATTTGATACTTTAATTTTAATTTTGATATTTATTTTCATATTTAAGACTAATGCCATCATTCATTTATTGATGTGACATAAATATTTAATAAAATATTGATATATATATATATAATATTAAGCATTATATTATCAATTCTGTGACAATATTAAAAAAATTTATAAAATTTTTAAAATTTTTTGAAATATTTAAAAAAATTAAAAAAATAATGAAAACTCAAAAAATTAAAAAAAAAACTCAAAATTTTAATAAAAATCCACAAAAACTCTTAAAATTAGAAAAAATTAAAAAATATGAAACTTTTAATAAATATAAAATTTTATTAAAATTTTAAAAAAGGATTCATAAAAACTTAAAAAATTGAAAATAAAAAAAAATCTAAAATTTTTTGAAAAAATCTAAAAATTTTAAACAAATTGTAAACAATATTTTTTTTCAAATTATGAAAAATTTTCATTTTTTAATCTTACAATTTAATTTTTTATATATTTTATGAATTTTTCATTTTTTTTGAAATTTTTTATTTTTATTAAATTTATAAGTTTTGTTATTTTATTTTTCATTTTTTAAAATTTTAGAATATTTCATATATTTGAAATTTTTTTACTTTTAGAATTTTTTAAAAATTTGATGAATTTTTTAATAAATTTTTAGATTTTTTTGTTTTCAATTTTTAAGTTTTTATGAATTTTTTTTAATTTAAAGAAAATTTTATTTTTATTAAAATTTTATTTTGAATTTTTTAGAATTTGTTTGAATTTTTTAGATTTTTCATTAAAAATTTGAGATTTTTTTAAAACCTTTTTAAGTCTTCATAAAATTTTAAATTTTGTAATTTCAAAAAATATTTCATTTTTTAAAATTTTTAATAACTTTTTAAAAATTTTCAATTTTTTGGAAAAAATTTTAAACATTTTTAAAATTTTAAAATTTTAAAAATATTCTTTTAATGCTGACATGGTAATTGATGATGTACTGCTAATTACTTTTGACACATGTTGACATCTTATTAAATGTTCATAATACGTTAGCAAATTGACTAATAGCATTTGTTTCAGTTACCAAAATTAATGAAGGAATTAAAGTTCAAATATCAAACTGATAATTTTAATTTTTTAAATGTTAAATTGATAAACAATAATAGTATAGAGGCTATTTTTTATATTTAACCTTATAATTACTAAACTAATCAAGAAACAGCTAAAATTTATCCTTTACAAAAAAGTAAGCAACAAAAAAAATTGTTGATTTTCTCTCTAAATTTCTTTGCAACAAGCCTTCAAACTATAAACTCATCTTCTCTCTTTCTTTTTTCTTTTTTGGTCATTTTTTCAA